AAAAAAAAAAAAAAAAACAACACTTCATTTCCATTAGAGAAGTAACAATCTGGAATATCATAAAACATTCAAATTAATACCTCTTATCTGCATTAGCCGGTGCTTCCAGTATTCATTATCTGAATCACCATAGCTAACATTTTTTAAATTACTTTATTATTCTGTTTTTGTCACAATTAATACCATCTATGAGTTTAACTTTTCTGAGTAAGGTAAACGTTTTGTATATTTTCAGAGAGCATCAGTGGGTGTATATTCTGGATAATGCTGTACACATTAGGCATTAAGTGTTAAACAATATCTATTTTTACGTCTGTAGTTAGTATATAAATGTTTCTAGTATTATATGCCCCATTAGTTATTTTTTATTAATAATTTATTTTTATTTACATCCAAGTTAGTTAGCATATGGTGCAACAATGATTTCAGGAGTAGATTCCTTACTGCCCCTTACCCATTTAGCCCATCCCCCCTCCCACAACCCCTTCAGCAACCCTCTGTTTATTCTCCATATTTAAAAATCTCTTATGTTTTTGTCCCCCTCCTGTTTTTATTTTATTTTATTTTTAATTTTTTCATGTTTATTTATTTTTGAGAGAGAGAGACAGAGCGCAAGCAGGTGAGGGGCAGAGAGAGAGGGAGACAGAGAATCCAAGCAGGCTCCAGGCTCTGAGCTGTCAGCATAGAGCCAGACGCGGGGCTCGAACTCAAGAGCATGAGATCATGACCTGGGCTGAAGTAGGACACTCAACCAACTGAGCCACCCAGACACCCTCCCCTCCCAGTTTATATGTTATTTTTGCTTCCCCTCCCTTATGTTCACCTGTTTTGTGTCTTAAAGTCCTCATATGAGTGAAGTCATATGATATTTGTCTTTCTCTGACTAATTTCACTTAGCATAACACCCTCTAGTTCTATCCACGTAGTTGCCCCATTAGTTATTTGTTCTGCAGGGGCCCTGTAAATGTTCCATCCATCCAAGGGACGCTTAATCCATCCCTTTTCCTCCTTCATACCCTGGTATTTCCTCTTTGTTTTAGTGTCACACTCTGTTACGTGGACAAAATTGAGGCTCATGTTAGGCTCAAAATATCACTATTCTTTAGTCTTGGATGTAGAGTTTGTCTCTATTACTCTAAAACTAGCTATACCTAACTATAATCTGAATGCCATCTGTTTTTTCTTCCCCATTTTAATACTTGTGAAATCTTTCTCTTCATTACCTTTCTATCCATTAACTTCTTTTGTCCCCACTTAAACTATGTTCATTTCTTCTTGTCTTAAAGAGAAAAATCTAGAGGTGCCTGGCTGGCTCAGTTGGAGGAGCATGTGACTCTTGATCTTGGGATCATGGATTTGAGCCCCACGTTGGGTGTAGAGATTACTTAAAATAAAATTAAATTAAATTAAAACTTAAAAAGGAAAAATTTAAATACTTTATGTGACTTACTGTCCCTTCAAATATTCATCTGCTCTTTCTTTCATCATTACCAGATACTTGCTCTTTCTTCTTTCTCTTTCAATGTATTAATTTCCTTCTTAGTTCCTTGCAATCTGGCTTCTTTTATTGCCATTCTACTAAACTTTAGTGTTAAAGATTATCTGAAGCCTTTTTTCTGCCAAACCAATGACTTTTTAAAAAATTCTTCTCCTTATTAGTATCACTACACTGTTGATAACCATTTCGTGGAATCCTCTCCTCTCAATAGTTTAAAGACACAGTTCCCAAACTATCCACCCAGACTCCCAGGAGGTCTGTGGTGAACTTGAAAGGGCAGGACAAAATACTTTAAATTTTATAAATGAGTGGCGCCTGGGTGGTTGAGTCTGTTAAGCATCTGACTCTTGATTTCAGCTCTGGTCATGAGCTCACAGTTTGTGGGATCGAGCCCTGTGTCAGGCTCTGTGCTGACAGCGAGGAGCCTGCTCGGGATTCTCTCTCTCCCTCTCTCTCTGCCTCTCCTCCACTTGCATACACAAGCACTTTCTCTCTTTCTCTCTCTCTGTCTCTCTCTCTCTCTCTCTGTCTCTGTGTCTGTCTCTCAAAAAAAAATAAACATTAAAAAAATAAATTTTATAAGTGAAATACATAATAATCAACATCTTTTGGATACCACAGGAACTACTAGCTCAGAGTCGTTACACTTTCACCATTAGCTTGCACTGCATTCCTTTTGATGATTTCATGTCATTGTGGACCTGAGTTTCCAGTCGTTGTGATAAAAAGCAAGCACTACATGAAAATAATGTGGAACAGGAAATGAGGGTGGCAGTGTCAGTCAGATTCCAAGATAGGAGAATTTGTTCTGTACCTAGTAAGTGCATATATCGCATTAGGAGTAACTGTGATTAGGGGTGCTTAGCTGGCTCAGTCAGTAGAGCAGTGTGACTCTCCATCTCAGGGTTGTGAGTTTGAACCCCATGATACTTATAGAGATTACTTAAAAATAAAATCTTTTAAAAACAAAGGAGTAATTGTGGTTAATAAGAATGAAATCTAAATATTTTTCAATTTAAGTGTATTATTTTTTCAAATGGCTACTAAGTTATTAGAACATAAATGCTTATTAAGTTGTTTGGGACTTAACAGAAGATTGGTATTTCTTTTGGCCTAGGAGTGCCATAAAAAATCACCAAGATCTCAAGGATGCCATGACGTGAGAAAGTTTGGGAACCTCTGGTGGGAAGTATTCCACAGGGCAGAGGAGATACTTTATTACTGTTAACTCCCTTTCATATCTTAGTTTGTTTGAGATGGTTCTTTCCTAGTTCCCTTCTTTAATGATGATTCACTCACTTCACAGACACTTAGGGAGTGTTTATTCTTTGGCAGGCATGGGGATCAGATTAATAGAACTAGTCCTCGTCTCAAGAAGTCTGAAAAACACTTCATTTTATCACCTTTATTACTTTATCTTTCTCTTCCTGCCAAATTTCTGCATATTTCCCCAAGACATAATCTATAGCACTTACTCAATGCTGTTTCAACATCTGCTTTTGTGGCATCACCTATCATACTGATAATTTTCAAATCTTTATCTCTACACTTGGCTTCTACCTTGGATTATATATAGCCTCATCCTCCTTTTCTAGCTACACCTAAGACATATTTCAATATCTTGTTTTTACTTCAAGGTTAATGTATTTAAAACACAGCATCTTTCTCCCTTTTAAATTGCCTTCCCTCCAGCCACTCCATTTCTATTAGTGTGGTCACTATTCTTTTGGCCTCCCAGATTTCAAACTTTAAATCATTTATAACCATTTTTTCTCTTTATATCCCCTATTTCTAGTCTGTCAAATTTCATTTTTTCTTCTTTCCCACATAGGCCCTTTTTGCTTCATGCTTCAATTACACCAGCAAGTTTCTAGCAACTTTCAATTACACTTTTTTGTTTTTCAGTTTTAAGTCTCACCAACCCCCAACTGTAATGAGCATATTGCTGTTAACTTCTCTTTCTAATATGTGCTTTTTGTAGACTTTTATTCTGCTTCCACTTGTTAAATTTTATTGCATATTTGTTCTCTTTAAGTCTGCCAGAAAGTTGCTATGCTTATTCCAAACTTTGTCATTCAATCAACTATCAAATTACTTAAGAATTATCCTAAACTTTTCCCTTACCCCAGTAGCTCATTATTCACCAGTTTTTACCTCAGAAATCTCTACATTCTCCCTGTAAATGTCTTGTTTCAGAATTCCTCATTTATATTCTGGACTGTTGAAGTAACCCCTCAACTGAACCTCTTACCTTCAGCTAAACTTTCTATGACACAAATGAAATCATGTCATTTCCCTGCTTAATAAATACCCTCTAGTTCCTTCCCCATTGACTTGCAGATAGAAATAGCATGGCTTTCAAGACCATTGTCATCTGGCCCCCTGCAGCCCTCACAAGACTCAACTTTCCTCCTACATTTTTCTCATACTTTATACTCCAGCCACACCAAAGTACCTATAATTCTCTGAACACGCTATGCTTTTTCAACTTTTTTGTTCTTTTACACATGTTTATGGTACTTGAAATGTCCTCATCCTAGCCAACTTCCTGCCTGGCTAACTTCTAGTCTTTTAGTAGTGGGCCACTAATACCATTAGGCGACAGGCAGATGGGGAACTTTATAATGGATGGATGTGGCTAACATCACCTGAACCTAGTGATCAATCTTAACATTAAAAAAAAAGAGAGATAGTCAGACTTTATGTGCCTCTTAATATGATACAGTGAGAGGTCCTCAATACTGCCTGTGAGGAATTCTACTAAAAACAATTGAATCTGAATCTAATCAATCATCCAGATATAAATACTAGTTTATTGGACACACAGGAACATTTTAAAGCATGCACCTAGGATATAATCAATGAAACCTAGCCTTTGGGTAACTCCATAGTATAAATGATCTAGTGTCTATATCAAGTAAATGACAAGGAGGAAGAGAGGAGACTAGATTGATTAAAATAAACTTGAGGCATTTCAACTGAAGGTAATGATGGACCTTCTTTGGATCCTGGTTTAAACAAACCAATTGTAAAAAGAAAGTTTTGAAATGATGGGGAAATTTAAGCACTGACTGGATATTAGATTATATTAGACATAATTTTTTAAGGTTTGATAATGGTTTTGTGTGTTTAAAAAAAGTCCTTCTCTGTTAGGGATGAATATGAAGTATTTACAGATGAAATTATAGTTTCATGCAAATTCCAGGCTCCATAATCTAGTGTATACATGGAGGGCAGAGCAGAATAAGTGGGTTATAGACAAAATATGACTGACCATAACTTAATAATTATTGAAAGTGAATGATGGATATGCGGAAGTTCATTATACTTTTCCCTTTACTCTTGTGTGTTTGAAAATTTCATAATAAAACACTGAGACAAAAAGAGATGACTGGGCATAAGAGTCACTTCCTCTGGGTATTTTTCCTAATGGTGACTCCTGCTGAGAACCTGACCAAACTAGATGCTCCTTTTCTATATCATCCTAACTGTTCATACCTCTATTGCAACACTTTTTTCACTGTATTGTATTGTCTTTAATCTTGCACATGACTGACCTTCTTGACATATTTATAATTAAGTTCCTGATTTTACTTCAGTTATCATCATAAAGATATTTGCTTTCATAGATTTGTTACTAGATATTTTGTAATACCTACGCATCACTTTAATTTGTTTTCTTTTAGGTTGCATAGCAGTAGGAAAATCCCTGAATAGCCGAAATTTTAGCAAGCTCTTGCACTCTTGCCCATACCAATGTGATCGTCACAAAGTCATTGTGGAAGCTGAAGACAGATATAAAAGTGAACTAAGGAAATCACTTATCTGTAACAAAAGTAATTAATTCAGCAGCTTTGAAACTGTTATTATGACTCTACCTTTTGAACTGTAATCTAGAACATGAAGTATATTAAAAAGTTAGCGGGTAAAATCATGTTGGAAAGAAAATATCTTAGAGCAACCAGTGTTTTAAGATGTACCCAGGGAAAAGATTTAGTCTCTGGTCATTTAAAAATTCTTCCTAATCCATCTAAGGATTCCCATTAGAAGGGGGGAAAAGGAACTTTCATACTAATGGAATTGATGTGCAGATTGATACTCTAAGTACACTAAATGTTTTCTGTATTTTTCAGAAATTCTGCTGACCCCACGTAGGAGACGACAACTCAGTAGTGAATCTACTACCTCTGGAGGAATAAGTTAATATATTTAATTATTAAATAAACCTAAATTTCATATAGTTCTGAGAAAAAGAGGACAGCTAAATGATGGTTTCTCAGTCCCATTGATGGTTCTTAAATGATAACCGTTGGGTCTGATGAGGGTCATAGTTCGGAAAAAAAGGGGCTTCCCACTTCCCTTCCTCATGTTGCTTTCTCACTCATTGCTTGCCCGCTGGGGAAGAAGCAGGAGGACACTAACATTTATTAAGCACTTACTAGGTGTTAGGTATTTTATGGATATTTCCTTTGATTCTTATAATAACATTATAAGGTGTGTAGTATTTTATTTCCACTTTAAGGCATAATGAGTTGGCAAATGGCAGAGCTTACATTCAAATGCAAGCCTGTCTTTCTCCAGAAGTCCCTGTCCTATCCTCCTGATCACATTTCTATTTTAAGAACAAAATTATTCTCCTATGTATAAGTGCTTCAGAGAGATTTTGCAAAAGATTTTGGTTCATAACTACAGCACTTCAAACAATCAAAATTTAAGAGACAAATAGTCTAAACCTTTAAAGCCCTGCTTAAAAATCAAAATACTTCTTGGGGTACGTGGGTGGCTCAGCCGGTTGAGCATCTCACTCTTGATTTCAGCTCAGGTCATGATCTCATGGTTCATGGGATCGAGCCTCATATCTGGTTCTGCGCTGAGAGTGTGGAGCCTGCTTGGGATTCTGTCTCTCCCACTCTCTCTGCCCCGCTTCCACTCACGTTCTCTTTCTCTCTAAAAATAAACAAGGGTGCCTGAGTCAGTTAAGCATCTGACTTCGGCTCAGGTCATGATCTCACGGTTTGTGGGCTCGAGTCCTGCATCGGGCTCTGTGCTGACAGCTCAGAGCCTGGAGCCTGCTTCAGATTCTGGATCCTGTGTCTCCCTCTCTGTCTGCTCCTCTTCCACTCGTGATCTCTCTCTCTCTCTCTCTCTCTGTCTCAAAAATAAATGGATATTAAAAAATAATAGTAAAAATAAAAACTAAACTTAAAAAAACCAAAATGCTTCTTAAATGATGAGTTAATTTATGGGAATTTTTACTTAACTACAGGATTAAAATTTCAGGTTTATCACCATTCCAAGTTTATTACAGAGACTTAGTGAACATTACCATTTTCTTCTCTTCATATGAAATTAATACCTGCAGAGTAAGAATAAGCAGTTAAGTACTTTACTTGTCAAAGTAACCTGGAATTTAGTAACATTTATTGAATTATTCTGTTATTTATTGCAAAGATATTTAGACATTCATATGGAAACATTTTACCATATACTTTTATTTGGCCATTTTCACTGCTAAAGCTTTAAAAGAAATTTCAAATTTATTTTTAATATTGTGGTGTTTTTTAAGTTTGTTTATAATCTCTCTACCCAACATGGGGCTTGAACTCACAACCCTGAGATCAAGAGTTACACACTCTTACTGACTGAACCAGCCAGGCACCCCTGAAATTTATTTTTTATATCTGGGTCTTTTTCCATGTTAAAAGTTCTGCGTTCAGGGGTGCCTGGGTGGCTCAGTCGGTTAAGCATCCAACTTTGGCTCGGGTCATGATCTCACAGTTTGTGAGTTTGAGGTCCTCGTCGGGCTCTGTGCTGACAGCTCAGAGCCTGGAGCCTGCTTCAGATTCTGTCTCCCTCTCTCTCTCTGCCCTTCCCCCACTCACACTCTGTCTCTCTCTCAAAAATAAACATTAAAAAATTAATTAAAAATTCCGCATGCAAATTAAAATTAACTACAGTACTCCTCTAGGGCAGCCCACTTTTTGAAGTAATATTTTCCGTAGAAACTGTTAGAAAATGGTTGTTTTTCCATAGAAACATGTTGCACTTGGAAAACTTGCTTTTGACAAGGAGTTGGCATCAAATGAATAATGGATTTTTTTCAGCAACATGACTTAAAAACAAATATGTAACAATTTAAAATATCCTATAATTGGGGCACCTGGGTGGCTCCGTCAGTTGGGCATCCGATTTCGGCTCAGGTCATGATTTTGCAGTTCGTGGGTTCGAGCCCTGTATCATTCTCTGTGCTGACAGCTCGGAGCCTGGAGCCTGCTTCGGATTCTGTGTCTCCCTCTCTCTCTGCCCCTCCCCTGCTCACACTATGTCTGTCTCTCTCAAAAATAAGTAAATGTTAAAAAAATTTTTTTTAAATATCCTATAATCATTTTACATAGTAAAATCATTTGTAAAGCCTCATGAAAAGCACATAATTGTGGTTGTACATTGATTATACAGAGGGATCCTAAATACTATTAAGTGACATTCAGCTCATAAGTACATACATCTTTTTTGTAGATTAGAATTGCTTTAGCTAACGCCAAATGGCTAATAATTTGGTCTGCTTTTTTAGAATTTAGAAAGGCATCTTGAGATACTGATTAGATTGAACTTCTCTTTCATAAGTAGGCTAAGAATGTTTGGTACATTGCCATTTTTCCTCCTTGATTTCCCTTTCGTTTCAAGACACATTTATGAGCATTCATTTGGTTGTAGGTTGCATTCAAATTTGAAACCATTCTTTTGAGAAGAGACCATTGCAGCATCTAAGCATTTAAAGAGACTTGGCTCTCTTTTAGGATAGACTGGTGTCTTGAGAGATTTTGAAAAATAAGAGTCCCTAGAATTGAACCTTCTTGCCTACTTTCCCTTACCCTTTCCTAAAGCCTGATCAATGTTAAGACTAGCACTAAAGGGGTTCCTGAGTGGCTGTGTTGGTTGAGCATCTGACTTAGGCTCCGGGGCCATGATCTCGTGGCTCATGAATTCAAGCTACGCCCCCTCCCCCCACTCCCTCTCCTGCTGGCTGTCAGTGTAGAGCCTGCTTCGGATCCTCTGTCCCCGTCTCTCTTCCCCTCCCCTGCTCATGGTCTCTCTCTCTCTCTCTCTCTCTCTCTCTCTCTCTCTCTCTCTCAAAAGTAACCAAGCATTAAAAATAAAAAGATAGTCACTAAAGAAGTCACAAAGGGGAGCCCTGTGGGGTAGAGCTGCTTCCTCCTTCTAGGCTGCCCAGTACTCTGCTGCAATAACCTTTGAGGAATTGGGCACAGATGTAGGAGTCAGTGAGATGGCAGCTGTATTGGAAAAGTGAGAATTGGCTTTACATGAACAATTCCTGGACCCCAGTATCCTGAACGTTATAATAACCCGTCCACTCCTGATTATGAGTTCAAATCATTAAGCAAGTGAAATTGAAATCCTCTATTTCTTAGATGACAGCTTTCTAGTAGAGCTAAAAGTAAGCTCTAGTAGAGCTAAAAGTTTGAAACACTTTTTACCAATAATTAGATATTATTTTAGGCACTGGAGATATAACGGTGAGCAAAACAGACAATAATTCTTATCTTCCTGGACCTTGCATTCTAAGTAATACCATTAAGTAATCATCAGACATTATTTTCAGTGATTTCTCAGCCTTCTGCTGGTAAGATTTTCATTTCTGTTTTAAAAGATCTGAACCATGCCTCCTATCCTAGGAGAAGTAGACAAATGGCTCACAGTCTTGACCTGCAAGGGCAAGATTTTCTAAAGTTGTCCCAGCACCACTGTTTCAATTCCTTCTAAAGTAAATAGCAGCCTTAAGTGGAAGTAGAGAAAACTCCTCCTATCAACATCTATCTACAATGATAACATGAGTTAGCAATGAACAAAAAACCTTACAAGAAAACTATTTCCTAGTAATCATCACCAGAAGGTATTTATGTACACAGATACCAACTGCATATTCTTTCTGTTGTAGAAAGTATCCCTAATAACCAGATAGTTAAAAACTTCCTTCTCCCTTGTGCAGCCTATTTTTTGAGTTTTAATCAAGCTGAGCACCCATACAGGTAGTGAATGTTTTTTAAAGTGAGTTTCAAAAGACCCTTTTTAAAAAAAATATTTATCAAGGCTGATAATTAAAGTAACAAGTGTCGATATTCTTTTTTATTCTATGAAGTTTTGGAGCCCTTTGGGAAGACTGTATCTGTAAGATAGGTAAGCTGTCTGTTAATTGTTCTCACAGGAATGTTGAGAGAATTAAAAATCAAATGTTTATAAATTCTTGTGCTTCTTGATTGAAAGATGTTCCACGTATTGCAATAGAATTGTTAAAATTATTGAAGAATTCACAGTGATAAGACCTAGCTTAATAGTAGGCACTCAATTTTTAAAATTGAAATGAATTTCTATATGATGAGTAATGCAGGCATGAAGCTTTCTCACTACATAGTTCATATCCTTAGAGTAAGTTAAGAACTTATCCTTAGAGTAAGTTAAGAAGATCCCTTTTCTCAGCAAGTACTTATATATTCTACGATTCTCATTAATTACAGAAAAAAGAAGAATTCGTAAAAATTTTACCAAAGAAGAAGTAAATTACCTTTTCAATGGAGTTAAGAAAATGGGAAATCACTGGAATTTAATTTTGTGGTCTTTCCCCTTTCAGCAAGGACGGAAGGCTGTGGATCTTGCTCACAAATACCACAAGCTGACCAAAGGCTCCAAGCATGAAGCTCCTTGATCAGAATACTTGTCAGTTTTTAGGTTTAACTAATAGAATACAATGGCTTGAAACACAATTTAAAATCTTCTAAACTCTCATGAAACAGAGAATGTGAAAACAATACTGTTTTAATTAAATACTCCTTGTGATTCTGTATCTCTTTGAATTATTAAAGTAACTTATAAAACAAATACACTTTTTAATGTGTAGATTAGTAAGCAAAATTCCTTTATAAGGTCAAACATTTGTTTAGGAATATGCTTTTATTTTTCCTTAAGCTCAAAGAACACAGGTCAGAGAAAAAAATATCAGCCTTTAAGCATTATTTGACATTATATTGTAATGGATACCATGTGAGACATTTGGATTTTAGTATATATTCTCACCCAGTGTAAGTTCCTCCCCAGAACTTAGAATAGTTTCCCAAGCTGTTCAAATGAAGTTCCCACATATTAAATCAATGTTTGACATTTTGTTAGCTAAACTAAAATGTTTCCTCTTCTAGAGGCTAATTGTGCAGTTCCTTTGAATATCCCCAAATTCTATGGTCAGGTTCACTTTTTTGGTGTATGTTTATTTGCCTTTGCTTTTTAAAAGCTTAGAACAAATTTTTATCGTTTAAGTTAGTTTTCTTCTAGTGGAAAACCAAGCTATTTGACCTCAGTTGTCTATTTTTCTTACTCTTTTTATATTCCTATCCTGATCCCCAAAGGATGCTGTTGCAGCCTTTATTAAACTTAATATGCTGTTGCTGTGGCAAAGGGATCAGGTATCAGAGCCTTAAAGCTCACCTGTGCTTATATACCCATTGATTCACAGCTTCGTGTCATTGTAATAGATTTCTTCAGTCCCGAAAGGCATTTCCAGAAAAGTTTGTATTCTTTGACCTTTTCACATCATGACTACATCTACTTGGATAAATTAAGAATTTTTATTAAATTTATTTTTTAATGTTTTATTTATTTTTGAGAGAGCACAAAGCAAGGAGGGGCAGAGAAAGAGGGACAGAGGATCTGAGGTGGGCTCTACACTGACAGCAGTGAGCCCAATGTGGGGCTCAAACTCACAAATCACGAGATCATGACCTGAGCCGAAGTCGGACACTCAAACGACTGAGCCACCTAGGTGCCCCAGAATGTTTACTAAATTTCTAATTTTCTGATCCATAATGAAAATTGCAGAGAGCCAATAAGCAGAAGATTTTCTTTAAATTCAAAATTTCCTTTAAATAAAAGAATATTTTTTTTTTACTTTTTTAATGTTTATTTATTTTTGAGACAGAGACAGAGCATGAACGGGGGAGGGTCAGAGAGAGGGAGACACAGAATCCGAAGCAGGCTCCAGGCTCTGAGCTGTCAGCACAGAGCCCGACCTGGGGCTCGAAACTACGGACCACGAGATCATGACCTGAGCCGAAGTCGGCCGCTTAACCAACTGAGCCACCCAGGCGCCCCTGAATAAAAGAATAATTTAAAATTACAAAGGGGTGCCTGGGTGGCTCAGTCAGTTAAGCTTCCGACTTCAGTTCAGGTCATGATCTCACAGTTCGTGAGTTCCAGCCCCGCATCTGGCTCCCAGCTGACAGCTTGGAGCCTGCTTGGGATTCTGTGCCTCCCTCTCTCTGCCCCTCCCCTGCTTGCTCTCTCTCTCTCTCTCTCAAAAATAAATAAAGATTAAAAAAAATTAAAGTTAGGAACATTCCTTATAGCATCTCAAGTGTGAATGAATCTTGTCCATTTAAATAGGCTTTTTGATTTGCACTTCTCAAGACTTAGGAAAGTTGTTTTAGGTCAAAGGGGAAAACATTGTTTTGTCAGTCTTATTGGCTTAATCAGGAGTTGTTTCTTACGGATGTTCAGAAAGGATTTAAACATGTTTTTCTACTTTAAGTGGGTCTCAGGTAATAGTTCTTTTATTGATCGCAAATTAACAGAAAAATCAAACACTGCTTAACTCATGCATCCCCAAGAATATGATATACTGTTGGTTAGACACTGATTTGTGTCAGTTACTGAGACTATATTTAAAATAACCAATACTGGGGCACCTGGGTGGCTCAGTCCATTAGGTGTTGGACACTTGATTTTGGCTCAGGTCATGATCACTCAGTTCATGAGATCGAGCCAAGTCAGGCTCTGTGCTGACAGTGCATGGCCTCCTTGAGATTCTCTCTCCCTCTCTCTGCTCCTCCCCCACTCATGCTCTGTCTCTCTCTCAAAATAAATAAACATTTAAAAAAATTAACCAATGCTACATTGCCTTCTGAAACCTTGAAATTTTATCCTAACTCTTCACTAACTTGGTTAACATGAGCTGCTTTTTTTTCCCCTCAGATGGAAATATTTGGTAATAAAATAGATGAAGACACATCAAAAGGAAAGTGGAAGAACGATGACATATTAGAGAACTGTATAGCTTTAGGAGTTTAGACATGACAAAATCAACAGGGAATAAAAAATGATTTTAATAATGACAGACCTTTGGAGTCGGAATTGACCTCAGTTATAGTTCCCTGGCAGAGGCATGAACTGCTGTACAACAATCTCAACATTTGTGGCTGTCTTTAATTTTGCATAAATCCTCAGAAACCTGGAATTTACTACTTCACAAGGTGATAATTGGTGGTCAGTTCTAACTTAGATTAAAATGAAATGTGCCCTCCTCAAGCACCTTCTGTAGAACCACAAGAGTTGAATTTCTTTTCTACATGCCAATCCTTGAGAAAGGAAAAGATAGCTATCCATCACTTTCTCCTTTTCCCTCTACATTCTCTATCCTTCATGCTGATAAGCCCAGTTACTTCATGCTTCAGCAGAACAGTGTCATGTCTCCTTGTGGGCTTAGTCACTGACCACTGGACACTTACTTGTCTTGATAAAATGTGTCCAGGGAGTGCGTGGGTGGTTCAGTCAGTTGAGTGTCCGACTTCAGCTCCAATCATGATCTCACAGCTAGGGAGTTCGAGCCCCACGTCAGGCTCTGTGCTGCCAGCTCAGAGCCTCTAGCCTGCTTCAGATTCTGTGTCTCCCTCTCTCTTTGCCCCTCCCCCGTTCACACTCTGTCTTTCTCTCTGTCTCAAAAATAAACATTAAAAAAAAAATGTGTCCAGAAAGAAATGTGGCTTTACTGCCAGAGTATGTCTGTACCCAGTTTGTCATCTAGTATATTAGGCATCTCTTCCTACTTCAGATCATCCACAGCTTTGAGTGTGATGCTGCATTCTCATCCAAGTCACTGAGGGTAACTTGAGGTGCTGGGCCAGGGTGAGAGGCTGGGCAGGCTCCTAGCAGCCTCTGGTTATCCCTGTTCATCGGTTCCCTTTGGGCCTGGTCTTTGACCTGCTGCAATGCTATCATCCAGGCTACATTTCACTTTGAGTGAATTGTCAAATGCCCCGTTGAAATCTGCATTTGCTATGTCTAGCATCCTCTTGCCTGGCATTCCTGCAAAAAAAAAAAAAAAAAAAAAACAAAAAACAAAAAACAGAGAGAGAGACTGTGAATCTTGTCCTATCTTTTCCTTTTCTATTTAGTCACATTTAGAGAATTTCAGCTAGGGCTGATGAAGTTCACTGGCCTGTAGTTTTAAACTCCCATCTTCTGTCCTACGGAAATCCAGACACTGCCTTTTTATGACTTACAATACTTTCCAGACTTCTAAGGGTGTAACTCTTCATGGATTTTCACTCTCACTGCCTTGTTTGAACCTTACATTCAGGTTGGCCGATGCTATGCCCATTTGTTGGATCCTGTAACTCATGCTGCCAACATTTTGGCAGAGCCAGGATCAGAATTCTACTCCTTTGAAACTCACGTAGGTGGTTGCTTTTCTGCCATATCCCACTTCCTTGTGATATTTAGAAATGCCTTGTAAAGTGAGCGTTTTCCACAGAGGATAGCAAGAACCCTCAAAGGCCACTAAAGTTAAGCTCCATGAGTGAAGTGTATTTTTTTTCCTTCCATTACCCTTTTCCTTCCCCTTGTCTCCCTGACCTTTTATCCTTTCACATATCTTTCTTGTCACTACCCCCACCCCCAAGAAAGGAAATCAAAGCTGCCTATTTCTGTTGTGAAATGCTGTCTCCCTGGAAATATCATTTTGAAAAACCTTGGTGGCTCAGTTGGTTAAGCATCTGACTCTTGATTTCAGCTCAGGTCATGATCTCACAGATTGGGAGATCCAGCCCCGTGTGGAGCTCTGCACTGAAAGCTTGGACCCTGCCTGGGATTCTCTATCTCTGCCCCTCCCCTGCTAGCGTGCTCGCGTGCCCTCTCTCTCAAATAAGCTTAAAAAAAAAAAAAAGTTAATAAACACAATTGTATTGTTTGCTGCAGTAAAGATTACTACCTTGCACTCAATAGGGAGTGAGGTGAAAAGCGGGATATTTATGAGGACTTGGGGGTCTAGTTTAAGATGGGTCTTTCATTGCGGGGCTAAGAATTAGGCAAAATTCATGATAGCTTAAGTTCAGTGAATAGGATTGAAGTACTGGGATGCTACCTTTTAGCATTGGGATCCTTGGCCAGGTTTCTTAAGTTTTCTGAGCTTCAGGTTTCTAGTCTGTAAAAGGGTTAGATACGATTCAATGAGATAATGTGTGACTGGCACAGATCAGCGCCAGATAAATGGCGCTATCGTGTATTAGTCTCACTCCAAAGCCTGAGCTTTTCTCCTTAGCCTGGGCCCTCGACGGCGCATCGCTAGCGGATAGCTCGGCGAGGACCCGAGGCTAGTGCCACTACTCCCCTTGGCCGGCAGAGGCCGCCCGCGCGCCCTCCGTCCCGGCGGCTCCAGGTCCCGCCGCCGTCGCCTCTCTGCGCATGGCTGCCCCGACTGTTGCCTGACCGCCACCCACCTTCCGCCGCCGCAGCGGCCTCACGACCCTGTGGGAGCTGGCGGACCTTCGTGGGCCCAGCGAAGCGCGGCGGGCGGCGCGGACCCTGCGGGGTGGGCGGCTTGACGGGCGGCGCGAGGGCGGCGGAGAGTGGGCGGCCCGGCCAGGGTCCTCGCGGGTCCTCGGCGGGCCCGGGGGAGGGCCCTCTTTGTGGCTGCAGTTGGCAAGATGGCGCCGGTGGGGGTGGAGAAGAAGCTGCTGCTGGGCCCCAACGGGCCCGCCGTGGCGGCTGCCGGCGACCTGACCAGCGAGGAGGAAGAGGGCCAGAGCCTATGGTAAGACCGCGAGGCGGCCGGGCGGGGCCGGCGGGGCCGGGGAGTGTGCGGCCGAGTGGGGAGCTGTCCGGACTGGGCTGCACCGTCGGACAGACTGACGGGCCGTTGCGGGCCAGTCAGGTCCAGGCTAGCCCCTGGACTGACCGCTTTGCTGTTATCGCCACAGGTCCTCGATTCTGAGCGAGGTGTCCACTCGCGCTAGATCCAAGCTGCCGTCCGGCAAGAACATCCTGGTCTTCGGTGAGCGCCGGAGGTGGGGCGTTGCCCGGGGAGCTGGGGTGGGCGAGACGGGCGCCCCTCTCACAGGTCCCAGCCTTCCTTTCTCCTGCCCGCAGCCTGCGTCGCCCAGGAGGGCTTGGAGATCCTGGCTGGACAGCCGGAGAGTGGCCAAGTCCACTGTGCCTGAGGTTGGGATATCTCTTTTGGAGAGTCAGTGATGCTGGCGTGGAGTTGTCGGCACATTCCTTAGTCATTTGGCCGCAACATCAGCCTTACTTTAAATGTCACTGGTTCTGTGTGGTCATAGTCTCAAAGTTTACCAAATTGCAGGTGTGGAGAGGGGGATGAGTATATGAGAAGGTTAGGTGGAGGAGGTGGGGGGAAATGAGGTGACTTGGGAGTCAGGGGTATGGGGAGATGCCACCGGAACCGTTCCTCCATCTTCATGAGCAGGGTACGGTCGCAGAGACTCTGCAAAGGACAGGAGGTCCTGGGGTCCTCACTAGGGACTTGACTGCATTATTCCAGCCCTCACTGCTGGGTTCCCTGGGTCAGGTCCCTTATTGTGTCTCGTCTCAGTTTCTGTCCGTAAGTGAGGGAGTTTGATCAGGTTCATTCATCCAGAGAATCCATTTGTTGAGAGATTCCTATCGTCTGGGCACTGGAGAGCACAGGCATCCCTCACACATTGCACGAGAGAGACAGATATGTTGGTAATTACACTACACCATGCTGGCATGGGAAGATTATTGTAGGGCATCACATTGTTTGATGCTGTTTTGCAAGAGGGTACTTTAGGGGTCAGGTGTTTTGAAGGATAAGTGTTAACATGCAGGGGCACAGAGTGTTTGCAGTGACACAGAAGTGACAGGAGGGTGTGGGGGTTTGGAAGATGCCAGAAGCTCCTTGTAGGTGACTGATGAGATAAGTTGGGTCAGATGGTGGAAGGCTGAAGAGTTGATAATGCTTTTTCCTGGAGGCCCCTGATTCTCAAGGCCTTTTGTTTCACTTCCATCCCCTAATCCTCTTGGGAATCACTGTGAGGGTGGTTTTCCCAGTGGTTTTGTTTGTTTGTTTGTTATTTTATTTATTTTTTTTTTAATTTTTTTTTAACGTTTATTTATTTTTGAGAAGAGAGAGACAGAGCATGAATGGGGGAGGGACAGAGAGAGAGGGAGACACAGAATCGGAAGCAGGCTCCAAGCTCCGAGCCATCAGCCCAGAGCCCGATGCGGGGCTCAAACTCACGGACCGCGAGATCGTGACCTGAGCTGAAGTCGGACGCTTAACCGACTGAGCCACCCAGGCGCCCCTGTTTGTTTGTTTTTTAATGTTTGTTTATTTTTGAGACAGAGACAGAGCATGAATGGGGGAGGGTCAGACAGAGAGAGGGAGACACAGAATCTGAAGCAGGCTCCAGGCCCCGAGCTGTCAGCACAGAGCCTGACGCAGGGCTCGAACCCACGGACCATGAGATCATGACTTGAGCCGAAGTCGGATGCTTAACCGACTGAGCCACCTAGGTGCCCCTCCCAGCATTTTTGAGGGGAGCTTATGGTCTTCTTTAGGTGATGATCACTGCAGAAGGTAATAGAGGACCTTTAGAGATCTTTAAGAAGTGAGGAACCAAGGTCACCAGATCTGTGTTTTACAAAGGGAATTCTGGCAGCAGAGTTGCAGGTGGCTCAAAATGAGCAGGTATTGAAGTCAGGCTGAGAGTTGTTCACCAAAGCTCGGATGGGGATGTGGAGTCTTTGAATACAGTAGTGACATTGGGGATAGACAGGAGGTCTTTGATCTGTGGAATGCTTCTTAATTCTTATGTCTTGTAATTCCATATTATTAAATACCAGGGGTGCCTAGTAATGTTTCTGGGTGGTGGTTCTTCTTAATGTTTAAGGTTTCTTTTTTGAGGGTGCAGGTGGTTGTTGGTTGGAGGGGTATGAGGAGGCACTTGATAATTACTGAGATTGTGCTTAGGAGTTTTGCTTGGGTCCGTAATTATTTTCATCAGTTTCCTAGCCTTCAGGATGCTTATGAAAGAGAGGTACTAAAATCAAAAGTGAATAATAGCTTCTATTCTTCATGATTGTGAGGCAGGATCAGACTTTTTTTAGTTCAGAGTTCTGGACTGTAAGTTTAATTATATTTTGAAGATTTCTTTTCTTGTGGTAAAACTTGATTTTGTGTGAAACTAACCCCACCTTTTACTTTCACTTCTCCAAATATATGTCTTATAAATTGGACATATAGACCTGTGGACCTGCCTTATTCCTTCCCTTGTGAAATAAGGATGACTGCAGTAGAATGTCATTTTATATCTTGGAATTTGTCACCTTTGTCACCACTATCCCCCCTCCATTCTTACAGCAAAGCCTGTTTTGTTTATGATGAGTGCAAGTGAGACCTCAGCAGCAGGCTTTGTGTGAAACCTTCGTTGTCACTTGTGTGTCAAGATTCCCCATCCTTGCCTAGAATAAACAGCACACTTTGCCTTCTCTTGTACATCCTTCGTAGGTGAAGATGGTTCTGGTAAAACAACCCTCATGACTAAACTTCAAGGAGCTGAGCATGGCAAAAAAGGAAGAGGCCTAGAGTATCTCTACCTCAGCATCCACGATGAGGACCGAGATGGTGAGTGATGTGTTGATCTGTGGTAAGGGGTAAATGCATATCTCAGATTCTGCTGTTGTGTCTCCTATTTTCTGTTTAGTTCTAAGAGAATTAGTCACAGGGGAATAGATGAAGTGTATGTCTTTGTAGGACTTAACCCACTTTTTAAAAGTTTATCTATTTACATAAGTAATCTCTACACCCAGTGTGGGGCTCGAACTCATGACCGTGAGATCAAGAGTTGCATGTTTTTATGGGTGCCTGGATTGCTCATTCGGTTAAGTGTTTGAGTTGGGGCTCAGGTCATGATCTCATGGTTCACGGGCTTGGGCCTCGCATGGGGCTCTGTGCTGACACCTCAGAGCCTAGAGCCTGCTTCGGATTCTGTGTCTCCCTCTATCTCTGCCACTCCCTCCCTCACACACTGTCTCTCTCTTTCAAAAAAAAAAAAAAATGAATAAACATTTAAAAAAAGAGAAAAAAAGTAGCATGCTGTTCTGACTAAGCCAGCCAGATGCCCCTTCCCTCTTTCCTTTTTATAGTATGTTAGTAAAAATGAGAAATGAGGCTGTTAGCTGTTGTTCTGGGTAGCCCCCAGTTAAAAGGAGATATTGAAGGTAAAGTTTCAGATGCACATATAGGTACTATGAAAGATGTTTTTAAAACCTTTGGACTTTTCTATGAGAGAAATATTTAGCAGATGGATTTGGACACGTTGTTGCTTTGCCGGTTCTAGCGGAGAATCTGAAATTGGTATGATTCAGAGAGTAACAGTTTAACAGATATTCACAGGAGAATTTTCTAGGTCTCTTTGTGACAATGTTAGAAATGCTCATTTCCCATGTGTCTTTCAGTGGAGGACAGAGGCTCAGGGATGAGGATGTTCTCTCTTAATTCCTTATCTCTAGAATGTGGATAGTAATAGTTTCTACCTGCAGGGTAGTTGGGAATATTAACATTATATGAGAAGCGTTCATAAGGATTAGGTATTTCTTAAAATTCTTATAATTTTGAGTTGGATTGGAGTAATGGCTTTTGGTTACCACTGCTCAGTAATGCTTCCTTTATAAACTTTAAAGCTTTATGAATGGCTCTAAAATAAATAATCATTGGTGCCTAGTCTTTTCATATGTAGGAAGATTATCTGTGTAGCGTAAGGGTGAAATATCTGTTTTAGATTACTTTCTTTGTATTTGCCTTTATCCATTTAAACAGTAAGGATCACAGTGTAAGGGTGATTATATAAGGGACTAAATCCTACCACTTCTGGTTCCCCATTTCCTTTTTGCTAACATGAAGAAGTTGGACCCAAGTCCCTTCCAGCAGTATAATTCTTTGATCTCCAAGAGTCATTTCATAGAGGTCATGGATCAGGATCTCTTGTTAAAGCTTGGAGAGCTGCATTGTATTAATGTTAAGGTAATGGTCATTTTAGAACCCCAGAGACTTTATACCTGTTCTTCCTCTCCTGGCTTCCTTTGCTGCACCGAACGTTGCCTGAAAGATGTGAAAGAAAGGTAGGAGATGGGCCTGGTGCCGAGGGCTCTTCTTGTATAAGGAAGACAGAGGCTTTCAGGTGCCCAGCTGGGCCCACTGGCATCAGTGCGGGTAGGGGTGGGACAGAGGGGCCGTTGGGCTAGACTTAGAGGGAGGGCCTCATATTGTCTGAGCCTTTTGCATCCAGTTTTCGTTGGGCAGCGTGGTTATTGTGGAAGCACCTGGGTTTTGGAGCCACCAGAACTGGTTCAGAGTCCTGCTCCCATAATTGCTAGTTGTGACTGACCTAAGCACTCCGCACCTCAGTTTCCTCATTTGTAGAACTGGGTAACCATACCTGTTTTGTAAGTTGACACAATGAGAGGTGGCACGTGTTAGGTGTAGCCGACTACTTGAGACACAGTGGTGGTAGCTCTAGTACCCTTTTGAAAGTATAAAATGTGGTATAGATACTCTGTGAATCTCTATAGCTGCTTTTATCAAGATGGCATAAGCATATATCATGCCAAAGCATCATATTAACCATATTTACTTGCCTCTGAGTTGAAGGACATGTTAGCATTTATTTCAGATTCCTTAAGGTTGCCTTAAAAATTTCCTGGTCTCTGCATTTTTAGGCCACCTACTTGCAGGTCTGTTTTTGTTTTTGCAGGTCTTTTTTTGATGGAAGAGTTGCCCTTACCAGTAGTTAATTATACTTCTTTCAGTAGGTTTTGGGTTTTTTTTGTTTTGTTTTGTTTTGTTTTGTTTTTTGTGATGTGACCGAGTTATAAATATACATTTTGCAGATAATCACACAGATAGAAAAAATGGTCTCTTGTCCCTGGTTTGTGGTAGGGCATGACATGTCGAAGGACCACTGCCTCCATGGTTGTGGATGTCTGTTTAACGTCACATGTGGTATGTGTGATCTCCATGCACATGGATGATAATGTGTAGTGGGCAGTGGGAAGAGAGGCTGAAGAAAGGAATGATGCTTGGTGAGGGGAAGGCATCAAAATCAGTGGACTTCAGGTACAGAGCAATATCTTTGAAGGCATTCACAGAACCCAAACCAAAACCACTGTCTAAAATGTATTAGAATTTTGAAAGTATAGCTAGACAGTAGATAGTAGATACCTTATTATGCTGTTGAAATAAAGTTGTGAATATTAAATTTTTTACAGCATATGTTTTAATGAATTGATTACACAAAAAAGGGTAGTTAGCAGAAGATAGATTTTTAAGTATATTTTGGAATTTATTGGGGAAAAAGTTAGTGAAATGATATTTTTGATTGTAGGAGTTTTCCCTCAGTGCACTTTTGTAAGAAAAATATTTCTCAAAAATGGTATCTAAAAACTTTTAAAAATAGGTTATCATTTTGGAGAAGTACCTTCTATGGTTTGATCATCCAGTTATGATTTTGGAAGCACATGTTTCATGAAATGTCAGCAGTTGCACATTTGTGTGTATGTTTAGCTTTTAATTGTGGAAAACAAAAGAAGGTACAACATAGATTAGAATCATAAACCCCAACGTATGTGTTATTTGCCTTAAACAGTTATCAGTTCTTTACCAATTTTATTTCAACTATACTCTCACCTGCTTCTCCTTTCACTTCACACTGGATTATGTTGAAGCAAATTTCAGACATTATGTCATTTCATCTGCATATATTTCCATCTGTATGTCTAAAAGATAATAATTTTTTAAAAGTTTATTTATTTTGAGAGAGTGTATGCACACAAGCGGGGGAGGGAGGGAGGGAGAGAGAGGAAGAGAGAGAGAATCCCAAGCAGGCTCTGCACTGTCAGCATGGAGCCCGACACAGGGCTTGAACTCACAAACCATGAGATAATGATCTGAGCCAAAATCAGGAGTCAAGTGCTTGACAGACTGAGCCACCCAGGTGCCAGGTATCCCATAAGGATTTTTTTAAATTTAATTTTTAATTGTTTTTAGAGAGAGAGGAAGAGTATAAGCTGGGAAGAGGGGCAGAGGGAGAGAGAATATCATAAGCAGGCTCCATGCTCAGCACGGAGCCTGACACAGAGCTTGATCCCATGACCCTGGGATCATGACCTGAGCTCATATCAAGAGTCACACGTTCAACCGACTGACCCACTCAGGAACCCTTAAAAGATAAGGATTTTTAAAAACATAACCATATTCTTATACCAAGAATAACTCATTCCTCAATATCACCAGGCATCCAGTAACTCATACCTCAGTGTGTATAAGTAATGATTTTATCTTGGCATTTAAACACAAAGGTCCTGTCTCTTTGGTACCCTTTGTAGTATGTGAACGCACTGTTTAGTATGCCTGACAAGAAGACCTTATTTAACCACAGGCTGCTTGGCACAGCTTAGCTGCCTCATACATTGCTGATATCTGAGGAGAATGGGTTATGTAGACGGTAGTGCAGTTGACCAGTGAACATTTTAGCTTTTGTATGTATCTTGATTCTTATTAAAAGCTAAAATGTCCTTCACTCTTTATTCTACTCTACATTGCTGGAATCCGTTTACATGTGGATATAATATATCATGACAATTTAGAAATCTTTAAGTTTAAATGGTTCATCAGATACCTTGATCAAAGGTTACTGCCCACTGAGCACTTGACCTCTTTTCTGATTAGGATTTCTTGTTGCGTTTTGTATGGTATTCTGTGGTTGTCACTTTTAAGTTCCTCTTGATGTGGCTTTTTTTCAGCTGTGCTGATGGTCATTGTGAGGTCGTAACTTCGCTTTACTTCTTTTTTTAGATCATACACGCTGCAACGTGTGGATTCTGGATGGAGACCTGTATCATAAAGGTCTGCTGAAGTTTGCAGTTTCTGCTGAGTCCTTGCCGGAGACCCTGGTCATTTTTGTTGCAGACATGTCTAGGCCTTGGACTGTGATGGAATCTCTTCAGAAATGGGCTAGTGTTTTACGTGAGCACATTGATAAAATGAAAATTCCACCAGAAGAAATGAGGGAGCTGGAACGGAAGTGTAAGTAAAATAGGATTTTCTCAATTGGAAAATTGACTAGTCTCTTGAGATGGTTCAAGCCACCTTCCTTTTCACAGTGTCAAGAGGTTACAAAGCTTCCTTTACAGAATATTTGGTTTTGTTTGTACCGTTTATTTCAGTTTCTCTTGTAAATTCAATAGTCAAAAAGTACTTAAAGCAGTCTTACTCTCAAGCATCACAGTTGCAGAAAGTAAGTGAAACCATATTCCTTTTTATCTCCGTTGGTTCTTTTTTAAAATAAAGATTCTTTGGGGCTTCTGGGTGGCTCGGTCGGTTAAGCGTCCGACTTTGGCTCAGGTCATGATCTTGTGTTTGTGGGTTTGAGCTCTGCATCGGGTTCAGTGCTGACAGCTCAGAACCTGGAGCCTGCTTCAGATTCTATGTCTCCCTTTCTCTTTGCCTTTCCCCTGCTCACACTCGATCTCTCTCTCTCTCTCAAAAATAAATAAACATTTAAAAAAATTAAAGATTATTCTCTCATCCCTCAAAGTTTGATCAGTCTGTGGGTCTTTTTGCTTTTCTGTTACTCTGGCTGCTGAGTTAGCATCAGTGGATGTGGAGACTTCGATCTGCATGCAGCTTGAGTCCATTGCTCTGGGATTCCATTGAGGTCCTAGGGACTCTCTTGTTGACAGGTTTAAAGGAAGCCCTTTAAAGGAGACAAATCTTTCAGCTTCTACCTTAGTTCATTTTGCCATCAAGCAAGTATGATTTTAGTTAGATAGGAAAGTCATTTCTTTTGTCATTAAAATGAAAGGCTGTTTTAATACTAAGGACACCCAAGTCCTTTTGACAACAAAGAACTTTCAAATTAAAGGAAGTTTGTTTGTTTTGTTTTTCCTTAATGTGATTCAGAAGCTTATTTTTCCTTTCCCTTGCTTCTGCACTTACATCAGCTTCTGTCCCCTTGCCAGGGAAATGGGAGGGGCAGGGGCTGGAGCCATGGCAATGTTCAGCAGCAGCAATCTTGGCCAGGGCAGGCTTGGCTCAGCCTGGCTTTTTTCCACAGGATGACATCACTCTCTTCAGTGAATTAATGAGGGCTTCTAGGGCATGGCACACGGGATCTTCACGCTTACTGGCAAAAGGGTTCAGAAATTTTGATGTGCTTTTTAAATCAGATCTCTTGCTGTGTGTCTTCCTGTCATAAATTCCTCTTGCTCCTGTCCCACATTAGCTAAAACGGGGAATTTAAATTCTATGGTGTGCCGTGTGCATGTGTGCTACAGTGGTTGTTATGCAGCTCGGCTGGTCTGCCTTCAGCTGCTGACCTTTCTAGATAATGCCTCTTTTTCCCCTGGAATAGAGACCCTAAAGACAACTTCTTAGAATAGTTCTGAGGCTGAAGAGCTGTTTGTCTTTCACTGCATATTTAGCATCTTGCCCAGATTAATGGGTTAATGCCCTGGAGATTTCAGTCTCTGAATCTGTTTTCTTAGTGTTATAAACTTATAAAGATTTTTTTTTTTAACCTTGTAAAGATTTTTAAAACAAACAAAAAAGCAAGGTTGAGCCACGGATATTGTCCTTTCCCAGATAGGAAAAGTGTCTGCCTTATACCAGGTCTGTTCTATGCACTGGAGATGCACCTAGCAGATAAGATGCCTGCCTCTGGGGATCTTTCGTTCCCATAAACTATTGAATTCATTTTTTGCTTCGTCATTGCTGTCTGTGTCACTTAGGATTAGACTCAGCTGCTTGTGACACAAAACCAAAATAACAGTGGTTTAAACAAGACTGAAGTTTATTTCTCTCTCCTGTAAATGAAATCTGGAGATAGGCAGTTCAAGCCTAGAAGGCAGCTCTGGGAAGTCAGGTCAAGGATCCTGGCTCCTTTCTGCTTATTGCTTTGTCATCTCTAGGGTGTGGTTCTCTTCCTCTTGACAACTAGAACTGTCACCGCCTTCACATCCGTGTTCCAGCAGCAGGATGGAGGAAGAAGAAAGAAGGGCTGAAGGGTACATGCCTATTGTCTTTCTAAGGAGGTTGGGAAGTGTAGTTTGTATGGCCATGTGTTCTAGGTATCCGGATTTGGTTTGGTTATAAGGAAGAAGAGGAGAAAGGACATAGGAGGGCAACTAGCAATTGCTGTAACCTCGTCCATGTCTCATGACTCTGGTTAACCTTCTGAAGGCCTCTCTTGTTTTCACCACCCTTCCTCTGAAATGTTTGGAATGATAGTCACGCCTTTGTGTTGCATGTTGAAGGAATGCCTTTGTTAGTGCTGGTTTTAGGTTACATTTTAATAAAGCAGTTGGCCGCCATCTTGCTTATCAGACTCCCTCTTTGCAGATTAATTGGACTCTAGGTATTGTATTGAATGAGTGAAGGGCTGTCACTCAACCTAGTTTCCAATCAATACCAGTCTCCAGTCTGCTGGGTTTGGAAAGCTGCTCCACGGGGGGGGGGGGGTCACTTTTTCAGGATTTGGTTCCCCAGTGGTCCTAAATCTGTGGCAGCTGTTTGACTGGCAGTGAGGGGAAGGCAGAGCAACCCCAGAGCCTCCAGAAGGTGGCGCTTGTGTAGGTTAGTCTTGTCTTCCCTGCTTTATGTCTGGGCTTCCCTTACTTATCAAATAGAGAAAAAAGATTAGGTGCTGTCTGTGTGATTTTTCAGGACTCTGGAACCAGTGGGTGATCAGTGAGGTAGGAAGAAGAAGAAGATGAGAGAGAGATGGCAGCAGGTAGGGTAGAGCACTCTGATCCCCTTTTGCTACCAACTATTACGAGATGCTAAAGGGGGAGCCCCCAGGTGGGCTGTTGGCTCCTGCTGTGAAATACTGGCCATCTCACCATTGGAGAGAAATTAATACTGTGGTTAAGTGTGCACCCTAAGGGAAATGCACATTTTATTATCTGAATTGCACAGTGCTCACTATGTTCTTATTATCCTTCCTTTCACCAACCTCTATCTATGTCATGAATACTTATTCTGTTTCCCAACTTATTTTCTGAAATGCTGAGTTACTAAAAACACATGTGTATTTCCTATGGCTACTGGATAGCCACAGTTAAGTTATTCCTTTAGAGAGTGACCAGTCCAACCCAGGGCTTCCCACCTATTTTCATATCATGGCATATGTAGAATACAGCAGTTTGTGCAGCACACTGGGTAATGGAGTTCTATGGAACAGACCTCTGGGGCTGCCCGCCTCTGCTTCCTGCCATAGCCACTTAGCTCACCTGTAACACCCCAGGCTCTGCCGTGCTCACTGTCGTGCAATCCCTGGTTGAGTGCCTCATGTGATATTGGGCAGTGATAGGTATGACCCAAACTTAAACCATTGTATTTTTCAATGAGTTGAAGATTTGTTAAAATACGTTGAAGGAGATTCATGTGAGAACCTTTGATTTCTTCAAGATCCTTCAATAACCACACTAATTAATCAGAAAACCCTTCTCTGTCTCTGTTTTTTTCTAAAATGCAGTAGAGGGCGCCTGGGTGGCGCAGTCGGTTAAGCGTCTGACTTCAGCCAGGTCACGATCTCGCGGTCAGTGAGTTCGAGCCCCGCGTCAGGCTCTGGGCTGATGGCTCAGAGCCTGGAGCCTGTTTCCGATTCTGTGTCTCCCTCTCTCTCTGCCCCTCCCCCGTTCATGCTCTGTCTCTCAGTCCCAAAAATAAATAAACGTTGAAAAAAAAATTAAAAAATAAATAAATAAATAAAATGCAGTAGAGATCTCTAGTGTTTATATTGACGATGAAATTATATGAATGAGCTTAATTAAAGAGAAGCTGTAGAAATGAAATGTTAATTATGTCTGCACTTTAGGTCTTAGTTGAGATGGTTTTCAACTTGCCCAATATTTTAGGAAAGACATTGTACTCTTTAGATTAATTCTAGGAGCTCATGTAATGATAACGTAAAATCTCTATCGGTTAAAACTCATTGTTTTAAAATGTTTGAAACTTGTTCTGTGGATGAAGAGAAGTATGTGCACCTTTCCCTAGGTTCTCTTTAATCCAGTTATTTGCATTTTCTTAATGAGCATGTTGTGGATGAGACCGAAAGGCATTTTGATCCTTTCGTCCTGTTGTGTGTAGAAGGTAGAGCTGCCTGTTTGCTGCTCTAGCTCATAGCAGTTTTAATTTGTGGGCTGTTCTCTGGCCTGACATGTGAGCCTTGAAGTACCCACGAAAAGGTATGGGTCCGTGGGCTTTGGTTCACTTGGCTTAACCAGGCCCATGAACCACTCTCAGCTTCAGAGCCCTCCTATGGGATTGCACTATTGATACGCTAGTGACTGTGTGTGCTAAGAAGTGGACATTTTACTCCTGACCCCTTCTTGTGTTAGGAACAGGTCCGCCAACACTGCACAGTGACTCAGGATCTCCTAAAGATGAGACTGGGTCCACAAGAGTCAGGATGATGAGGAGACGTGGATGGTGCTGGCCAAGCCCAGCCTTGCTCCTTAGTACAGACATAGCTGTATGAAAACAGCATGTTCTTGTGGAATTCAGATGGTTTTACTCTTCTGATTTTTTGAAAATGTTAGATATATAAGAAATGTGGCTTTTTTCATAGAAACTATTAAATAATAGAAACTACTAAAACCTTAGATGTTTTTAAAACCTATTTAAGGGACGCCTGGGAAGCCCCTGTATGTTGGAAGAGCGTACAGTTCTTGACCTCAGGGTTGTGAGTTCAAGCCCCCATGTTGGGTGTAGAGATTACTTGAAAATAAAATCTTTTTTTAAAAAATTAAATCTTGGGGCGCCTGGGTGGCGCAGTCGGTTAAGCGTCCGACTTCAGCCAGGTCACGATCTCGCGGTCCGTGAGTTCGAGCCCCGCGTCAGGCTCTGGGCTGATGGCTCAGAGCCTGGAGCCTGTTTCCGATTCTGTGTCTCCCTCTCTCTCTGCCCCTCCCCTGTTCATGCTCTGTCTCTCTCTGTCCCAAAAATAAAATAAAAAAAACGTTGAAAAAAATTAAATCTTGGGGTGCCTGGGTGGCTTGGTCGGTTGAGCGTCCGACTTCGGCACAGGTCATGATCTCGTGGTTGACGAGTTCGAGCCCCACGTCGGGCTCTGTGCTGACAGCTCGGAGCCTGGAACCTCCTTCAGATTCTGTGTCTCCCCTCTCTCTCTGCCCCTCCCCTGCTCATGCTCTGTCTCTCTCTGTCTCAAAAATAAAAAATAAAAAATAAATTTTTTTTTTTAAAAAGTAGAAGAATAAAAAAATAAATAAAACCTGTTTAAGAGTTGGATATAATTAAACATGTCCAGGGAATATCTTTGCTGCTCTGAAGTTATAATGCTCAGACAATATGTTAGAATTGGCATTTTGTATCACCACCTCCAAATCCCTAATATTACAGTAAGGCAGAGTGGTGAAGTTTGTCAGAACTCTATTTTTTGTGCTTATTACTACCTTTCTCAGTTTTCTAAAACTGGCGTGTGTATTTTTATTTGTGTGATTTTCTTTTACTTTTTCACCTGTAGTTGTGAAAGATTTTCAAGACTATATTGAGCCTGAAGAAGGTTGTCAAGGTTCCCCGCAGAGAAGAGGACCTCTGACCTCAGGTCCTGACGAAGAAAATGTTGCCCTGCCTCTTGGTGACAATATGCTGACTCATAACCTGGGAATCCCAGTGTTGGTGGTGTGCACAAAGGTATGTGCCAGGAATTATAAATCTGGCTGGGTTTGGCCAGTGAACAATTACCATCTAAAAGAAACTTAGAGGCTCTTGTTGGGTGTCTTCCCATGGGAGAGTTGGACTAATTCAGGATTCATAAGGTACATTGAATATGTCAGGCTAGAAAATATTGTCATTTAATGTTGCTGCTGGAAACATGACATTACTCTGTTCATAGTTTACCTCTCCATGAAGTACTGTCTATTGAGTGATTCAAACTCAGAACTAAAAGCAGTTTTTTTAAGGCTCCGTAAACCAGTTGGTCTAGCCTAAACTGATGGCTAAAAAATAGAAGAGCAGAATTCTTTTGGGGTTTTGGTCATTTAAAGTCTGTTGGATTTGAGATGGTTTTCAGGAAGAACATAACACTGGAAAAAGAAGGAAGGGAACTCACTTTCTTCTGCCCTGTAGGATGATGATGTGGGAATGAAAATTAAGTTGAGTCATAGAGAAATAATTGTTTCTCTTAGAAAAGAAAAAAGTAGCTTTAAAACCATTTTGGGTTTATGGGGCGCCTGGCTTGCTCAGTCAGAAGAGCATGCAACTCTTAATCTCAGGGTCGTGAGTTTGAGCCCCGTGTTGGGTGTAGAGATTATTTAAAAATAAATAAACTTAAAAAAATTTTTTTTTGGATTTTAAAAGTACTTTATTCCCAACCACACAGTGTGCCATTCACATTATATTCTGTGAGATGAGAGTTCTTTGGAGGGTGCAGTGCACAGCTATGTCTCATGGCCTGCTTCCTGCTGTGACCGTGTTTGATTCTTAGAACAACTGTGAGGTGATCAGACTGTTACGCCCCCACTTTGCAGCTCTGGAAACTGTGGCCCAGGGTGAAAGAGAAATCTCCAGTTGCTTTTCACTCTTTCACTTTTCACTCTTTTCACTCACTTTCACTTTTGTCTAATTAATGTTTAGACCCTTGGCTGTGGCTTTCTTCTTTGGAACTATGATAGTTTATTTCTCTAGAAGACACCATTCCCATCCTCAGCAGGCAGAGAAGCAAAGAGGTGACTCCTTTCTCTTTCTGTCTTCCCTGCAGTGTGATGCAGTGAGTGTCCTGGAGAAGGAGCATGATTACAGGGACGAGCACTTTGACTTCATCCAGTCACACCTACGGAGGTTCTGCCTCCAGTGTATCCTTGGAGCGCTGTGTCAGGGCACAGGAGCACAGGCTCCCTTCTGTGCTAATTCAGGCTTCCCTCTAGATTGGTATCTTCAAAAAGATAAAGAACTTCCTGAATCTAGAACGGTCTTCTGCCGGGGAAAAATTGTATACATCTTTTTATTAGTTTTGTATTTTACTGTATTGGAATTTGAGACTTACTGATTTGTGTCTGCCTTTCATTTATTTTTATTTTTAATGCTGTACATTTGATAGGCTTTCGTATTAAGAAGAAAGCTAATATGGATAGTCTTACTACCAAAACTACTTTCATCATATCTTGGAAATCTTTTTAAACTTTGCTTTTTTGCAAAAAGGTTAATTACCCAACACGATATTGTTATAGATGCCACAAAGAGTATCCCATATGTTTATGTTGTGTGGTGTCCATGAGAGATACTGCGTGAGCAGTCTTTTGAGTTATACTTCTGTAAAAATACAGTAGCAAGTGGTGCTGCATCCCCATACCACTTCCTCTGGGCCTTTTATCTTGTCCAGCTCAGTGGAGGGTGCTGATACATGTAGGTACCCATCTCTTACAGAAGATGTGCTTAATAATAAACTGGATCACGTGTGAACATCTGTGTCTAGGAAAGAATCTGCACCCTGGATATGCTGAGGGTGTTGTCCTGGGCTAATCTCAGAGCCATTAACTTGACTGCTTATGAACCAACCTGACGGGTCAAAAGACAATAGTCTGCATGTTAAAAAATGAACCACATGGCCTGCCACCATTGACATCCTTTATGCTTTTGACATAGTTCATCTGTCATTATTACCGTTTTAGTTTTAAAAGTTTTAACACTTTCTGTTGATCATGTATTGATCAAAAACTAATTAGCCTGTGAGTAGTACTTTGAGGATTATGGTTGGCTATGTTTGCTTTTGTCTCTTGCAGTGAATTGGTTTTCCTTAAGCAGATTGATTAGATGGAGCAGCCTTGATTTACACATCAGTGAAGGAGGAGAAAAACCTCGACTTGTTGTATAAGTACATTGTTCATAAAACGTATGGCTTCCACTTTATCACACCTGCCTTAGTTGTGGAAAAGGATGCAGTTTTTATGTGAGTTCCTTATAGGTGATTTCAAATGCTTCTTTTCATAGTACATTTGCTCTTTTCTTTTTATCCTTCCATGTAAGGTGCCTTCTGTCTCTTTCGTACACCGCCAGCTTTCTGCTGCCTTGGGGCAAAGTGCTTGGCCTGGACCTCACAGGGGATAGATATACCCAGATCCTTTCTAGACTGTTTGCCATTCTGCTTCAGTCTAAGGGAAGTAGGTGGAGTGAGGTCATGGGTGCTGCCTTTCATCATTGAGAGCAAGGTACCAAAACTTAAACTAGACTTTTTTGCCACTTATTGTCAACTCCGGTAGAATACTGGCTGGAGGAAGGAGTTGAAGTATAGGGAATTGGGCTTTGGAGACCCTGATGCCTTCTGTTGAAGCATGTGATCTCTCTGCCCATTGGCAGAGATGATTGCAGGCACCCTTGTTGGTGTACCTGTCAGCATGGGCTTTGGCTATACTGAATGCGTGTTGTATTTTTGGTACGTTGGAGCCACGGGGGCTGCTGTCCTGGGCAGAGACTTAGATACCTGTCTGTTCCAGTTTGTGTTTTTCTGTCACTGGAAAATGATGAGTGTTTTGGATATGTGAATGAATGATGAAGCTGTGTGGCCTCTGAGAGGACTTGTGCTAGTAGATCAGTGTTTGTAGGCTTCGATATCCTCTTGACTTCAGAATTACAGTTCATTCAGCAATTGCTGAGTACTTCCTAGGTGTCTGGGTTCTATGCTAAGGACACAGAAGTGAACAAGATATGGTCCCTGCACACAGCACTGGAGGGCAGGGGTGGAGCAGTAATGGAGTGGTAGTGGAGGCAGTGCGGCAGGGAGGGCAGAGGGGGTGATGCTGGAAGGCTGAGTGTGTGTGTGCTAGGCAGGCTAGAAGGAATGGAGGGGTAGGAGGAACAGCCTCTCAGAAGGCTGAAGATGTGATAGCCAAGAGCTCTTGGCACTGACTAGGTTGCTTCCTGAACATTTAGGGAGAGCCTCATTTGGGCTCCTCACAGATGGCAGAGCTAGAGCCTTGGGTGGCTTTTAGAGAATTGTTGTCCAGAGCAATCACACAGGCATCAAAGACACAAGCTCAGTGAATGATACGTGAGTGCCCAAATTACTTGTGATCCTGAGGAACAGGAAGCCCCAGGAAGACAGGTTGAGGATCAGGGCTGGTCTGGAGAGGAGAAGCATCTCACACCTTCCGAAGGCTGCTTGGGTTGTGGCTGTATCTTGATCATACCCCGTCCCTTTGAATCTTTGATCCTTTGGTAGTTTGCCTGTTTGGGAACTGGTGAAGTCAGCAAAACCATTTGGGTGGAGCACCCTGGGTAAGAGCGCCCTCTTGGTTGTGGAGCAGTGAAGTAGGACTTAGGTGGAGAAAGGGAGACCTGTGAGAATCTGGTGGGAACAGTAGGCTACCGTGGCTTAACTTAATGGAACGTGGATGCCATCCTGCTTAGTGATCTCAAGCAGGGCAGCACCTATGTAGGAGCCTCAAGGACTCCTTGTGTCCCTCTGGTTTGCAGCCCAGGAGAGTGCAGATCCTGCTGCCCTGCTTTGTTCCACGGTACATCTTCCCACACCAGTAAAATTAATGAACTAGTCCACAAGAAAACTGTTTTCAGAAAACTTCTGAGTTCTTCTACACCAAAGCCCAAGAGAAACGGTCTCATCCGGAGCTGTGTCTGTGCTGCTCTCTATGTCCTCCGCTCTGTGGGAACAAGGCCCCATTGTGTCCTTACTCTTCTGGGTGGAGTTGTGTGAAAACTCTGAACACTTCCTGTGGGTCAGCATGTGGAGTCAGTAAGATCTGACTCTGGCTCCTAGGTTTTGGGCCCCGTGAGCTCAGTACAGGACAGAACCTGCCATGTCAATCTGATTGGTTATGCCGGCAGTAAATTTTGGCTTTCCTGCCACAAGCTACAAGCCAGCCCCAGCAGCTACAGGCCAGATTTTGTGGGAATGGGTCTCACCTAGGAGTCCTCACTAACCCGGAATGTTACCTAACATGTGCTATAAGGCAGTCCCAGGAAAAGCAAATCAATCCCTGTCTCTTTGCTTTTAGACCTGCAGGCTGGGACAACGAAAAGAAAATAGCTATTTTACATGAAAATTTCACAACTGTGAAGCCAGAAGATGCATATGAAGATTTTATTGTGAAACCTCCTGTGAGAAAGGTACCCAGATCAGTCACTTTGAGTTGTAGGCGTTTTTCTGTGTTTTTTGTTTTTTTTTTTTTTTTTTTTTTTTTTTTTTTTTTTTTTTTTTTTTTTTAATGGGAAAAGAAACATTTAAAGAGATATGTCTTACACATTGAACCATTTTGGGGGGAAGAAAAATGTAATCCAAGAGCCTCTTAAAAAAAGTTTAGGTGAAGCCTGGTGTGAATGTAAATGGCTCCAGGTGGTGGGATGTGAGTGCTGGAGGGCCCACAAGGCCACAAGGAGTTGGGTTGAAGTTTCCTACTAAGTCCTGACAATGCCACCACTACCTCGGGATTACTGTTAGGAGATCCCTGTGCTCCCCTGATCTTCAGGCCCTGATCTGAGAGGGGTTGTTGAGAACCTGCCACTTAAAAATGTCAGTTGGTCACATGGCATGGCTGGTCTTGGAATAGAGTTGGTGCCAGGCTAAAAAAACATAATTGCGCTGTTGCCGCAGGGACTCTCCCTGGACCCGTGTTGAGACCTGAGCCCAAGATTCTTCTTTCATTGAGAATTTTGACAGTAGTTCGGGTGTTCTTGGCCTGTGACCACAAATGAGTATGTCACTTCACTTCACAGCTGGTCCATGACAAAGAGTTGGCAGCCGAGGATGAGCAGGTGTTCCTAATGAAGCAACAGGTAAGAAAAACCAGTGAGGCCAGAGCAGAGGCCTTCTCTTGCGTGAAATGCCAGTCCCCTGGGATGAGGTGGAGGGCATCACAAAGAGCTTGCAGCATTAAAGGGATTGCCACCAGGTCTCCTTGTTCTCTCCCATTTCTGGCATTGGTACAGAGTAGGAGTTAGACCAGCTGCCTCAGGTGATCCCCTGCCTGCTTGCAGATTCTCAACAATGATAGGCTTGATATCATTTTAAGTACCCTTTCTTTCTGGAAATTAGGTTTTTTGGCATAATACTTCCTGTGTTGACAGTTTACCAAGTGCCCTGACTTCACTTCCATTATTTCACATAGCCCCACACAGCCCTGTGCATGAAGGCAGGTGAGCTGATGTACCCATTTTGTAGGTGAGGAGAGTAACTTCCACAAGCTGACAGTTCAGAATGCAAACCCAGTCTCTCCTTCCTGTTTTACTAGGACTATTGTTAGACATGCCACTTAGACCTATCATAGGTCTTCCTGATGGTCCAGGCAGCTCTGCAGAGGGTGTCGATGGGGTTTTTTTTGCCAGCTGGTCCTCCTTTCTGTGCTCTCCTTGCTTCCAAAACTGGTTATTTGAATTATTTTTTTCACCATGTAGCAAATTTCTGAATTTAAACATTTTGCATGTATAATATAAAACGTGACTTCGTTGTTATTAATGGCGCCCTCTAGTGGAGTACTGGGAAGTGTTTCTCCAGACTTTGCGTCCACTCTGCAGGCCTCTATTAATGGCCAGTGTGTCCCTCTCTTTGCAGTCACTCCTTGCCAAGCAGCCAGCCACGCCCACGAGAGCTTCTGTGAGTACCTTAAACTAAATGGGGTCAAGGCTCAGTGTTGTAGGTGTCTTCACACTTTATGCCATTATTTGTAAGAGCTTATATTTGTGTGGGTTTTTGTATTTTCAAAGGGAATTTGGTTTCCCTAAAAGCCCAGGGCCAGGAACATAGTAGGAGACTCAGGAAAGGAATACAGCTCTGGGAAATAGAGTGAGCAGGTTTCATTATCTTGATGTCTCTTCTCTAAGGAGAAACTAAGGTCTAGAAAGAGACTGAGCTGGGGGCAAACTCCCAGTCCTACCTCCCTTCTCCTTACGCTGTGAAAAATATCCTGCAGAGCATGTCTTCGTTTTGGGGATGTGTATTTCCTGTTATTTTTATGCCTGTATGTAACTTGGGCTGGTTTTGGACTTAGGAATCCCCTGCGAGAGGACCCTCTGGCTCTCCAAGAACTCAGGGCCGGGGAGGGCCAGCGAGTGTGCCTAGTGCCTCCCCAGGCACATCAGTAAAGAAGCCGGACCCAAACATCAAAAGTATGTATCCTGCCTCTGTGGAGAGTGTTTAGTCTTGGGCCTGAGCTCTGAAGGGGCTGTGTGGCTGGGTTTGGAACATGGAGGCCCGTGGCAACTGGGCTGTTCTCTTCCCCAAGAAGGGCTGCTTTCCACTTTCCTTCGCTCAAAGGGAAGGGGCTCGTGGTTGGCAGACACTAAGGCTGGTTCCTTTGTTGGAATCAATGGCCCTTACACTTGGTTCTGTATCAGGCCATGCAGGTTCTTTCAAAGAGGAATACAACATAATCACTTTATAATGTGTATTTTGAGGGGTGTCTGGGTGACTCAGTCTGTTGAATGTCTAACTCTTGATTTTGGCTCAGGTCATAATCTCACAGTTCATGGGATCAAGCTCCACGCTGTCAGTATGGGATTCTCTCTCTTTCTCTTCCCCTGACACTTGCATGCTTGCTCGCTCTCTCAAACTAAATAAACATTAAAAATAAATAAGGGGGTGTCTGAGTAGCTCAGTCAATTGAGCGTCTGACTTCGGCTCAGGTCATGCATGATCTTGCAGTTTCAGAGCTCGAGACCCACATTGGGCTCTCTGCTGTCAGCACAGAGCCCTCTTCTGATCCTCTGTTCCCCTGTCTCCCTGCCCCTCCTCCGCTCACTGTGTGTCTCTCTTAAATAAACTTTTAATTTTTTTTTTTCAACGTTTATTTATTTTTGGGACAGAGAGAGACAGAGCATGAACGGGCGAGGGGCAGAGAGAGAGGGAGACACAGAATCGGAAACAGGCTCCAGGCTCTGAGCCATCAGCCCAGAGCCCGACGCGGGGCTCGAACTCACGGACCGTGAGATCG